ACAAAATCAGGTGATCTTTGTTGTTTTCTGTCTTGCAGATCTCGTGGAGAACTTTGACGAAGCCTCAAAGAATGAAGCAAACTGATTTTCCTTTTATTTTATTTTTTTTTGCCCCCTTGGTCAACCGTTTTCAGTTTTAATTTTAATTTTTTTTAACCTCTAACAGCCTCACAAGGGGCACCTCCCTTTGTGGGGGAACGGTTGTTAAAGGTGCGGTGCATCATCTCCAGAGACGTGAACCATTTCGGGTTAGCCTGCAGCCGCAGCAGCACTACGACACACACACACACACCTAAGTTCTGATTTCACTAGTCGGTGATATTGTGGACACAGTATCTGTAACTCTCAGTACCCAAAGGACTCGCAATAGTTTAGAAATAAACTTCTTATATGGTTAAACGTGGCTAGTATTTAAGAGATTATTAAATTGCAGTTAATGTGAATGAGTGATTCACTTAACGTTATAGTGGTGATTATGAATTTAATAAAACATTTTTGGGCTATTAGAGTTTCTCTTCATTTACTTTACTGTTCAGATTTGTCAACCATATCTTGCTACCTATCCGCCTCGATGAGCAGCTGTAAAGTGGTCTGGTGAGGCCTTAATGTGTGAAATACTTGTTTTCATTAATAACTGAGCTCTCATGTACTCCAGAAGTCCTAATGTCAAAGTGTAATAAATTATTGGGACAAACTCCTTCAAAGTAAAATTTTCTTTGTTGGGACACTGAGTCAGATGATCTTTGGTTACAGTGTGTCCATGAGTTCTCGTGGAAACAGGGATAAGGAAGGGGGGCATCCAGAGGTCTTTCTAGGAAAAACAATGTTGTCTTCAACACATTACTGTAATTCTATATAATTATTTAATATAGTGTTTAAGCTTCTGTAGGAAGAAAAAAAGCTTAAGTTTTGAAGAAAAAAAATGGATCAACCTCGTAGTCTCACAGTGGTTTGATCCACCAACTTTCCCTAACATGTTTATTTTTGGAAAAGTTTTGCGTTGGGTTGAGTACTCATTTTCGCTCCACTACAAGGAGTACAGGCAGGCTCTTCTGGCTTCCTCTGGAGCCAAAGAACGTGTTGGGCAGCTATAACTTGAGCTGTTTTAATTCTCGAAATGCTGGGAAAGATGCTTTTAGTTCCCTCTTTAACAGAGAGTAGTAAAGGAAATAAGAGTGCTAACCCTTAAGTCGTAGCCATAGCAATCTAATAGTTACTAAAACAACAATTGGAAAGTGACTCAGAAATGTAAATGTTAATGGGACATTTTTGCTATTATGCTACATTACATGGCCAAAACTGCTGAGCCCTTACAGATTACACCTACAGGAGCTGCTCAGCCATGAAGCTCCCGGTGTACAGTTTCTGTGCTGATGGTAATTTTGTGTGGTCTGCCTCTTTGTGGCTGAGTTGCTGTGGATCCTAAACACTTTGCAGTAACACTACATGTAGTCCACCACTTGCACAGCACTTTGTTCTCAGTCTGCTGGCTTACTTGGAAGCACTTGTCACTGTTGCCAAGTGCTTACTCATAGAAGATTGTGTGATTGGTTTCTTTCTAATATTGTAGGTGTTTTAACCTTACGGTAGAAAGCACCTTGAGGTGACTGTTGTAGTGAATGGGCACTACATAAATAAAATAAAACTGAATTGTGCAAAATCCTGGAGAAAAGAAATTGAACAAACCAACTTGTTGGAACAGTGACATCCTATCACAGCATCGCATTCCAATTCTTTTAACCAACCTAGTTCTTTATGAACGTTCGTAAATGGAGGCTGTAGGGAGAGGTATTTAATTTTATACTCCTGTGACTGAAAGCAATTGAATCTAAAGATTAAGACGTGGCCCAGTCATGTTATCCTTATGATGAATTTATGGCTGTAATCAAACGGCATTTTTTTTCAGCTCCATTACACCATTGTTGAATGAAGTGCTTTAGTGTGGCCTCCATATCGATAAGTGGTAGTCATATTACTTAATGCATATTTATGGAGACGGGTGGTTGGCTTGCAATTGTCATTATTTATTTTTTTCAGGGCAATTGATATAGTAATTATACAGTATAAAATGTTCTGATTTCTCATGGGCTTCCCATTATTGGGCTGCTCCCTACTCTGCAACACCTCTTTAAAAATGGGGATTTTTTTTTTTATATAAAAATACTTCCTTACCAGTGAAAGTACTTCATTAAAGCTTTTTATGAGACACAGCAGAAGCATAATCTGCAAAATATCAAAAATAAAAGCGGTTCTATGTTATCCCACTACAATACACCAAATCTGCGTGCGCTTGTTTTTTGTTTAAAAACTCATCCTATAACACCAAGACTTGAGCAGCAAAACCTGACACACAAGTTCTTATCTATATGGGATATTATGACATCATCATGTTACCTTGCTACCACCTAGCAATGGGTGAAAATGACCATTTTAGTATTCATGTGCCTACATCAACCTTATGAAAGAACTGTATAATTTTTATACAGTGTATAATTCTACTTTATATTTACAAAGGTTTAATTAAACATATATATGTGTATATATATATATATATGTATATATTATAGCACCATCACGTCGCCTGGCAACCACCTAGCAGTCAGTGTAGCCTTTCCCTGTTAGGTGTCAAACCTAAGGCCCAGGTAACAGAATTGGCCCAGAAGACCAACTGGACAACTTGAAAATGAAAATATGAAGGAAGGCATCAATTTTGTACTTTTAACTGTATTTTTATACATTTTACAGCTTTTCCTAATAAAACAAATCTCCCCATTTATACTGCACCAAAGTAAGTGATAGTGATAGTGAAAGTAAGTGATAGACAAATAGAAAAGTTCCTTTTCCCCCCCACTATGTACTATAGAAATTTTAGCAGTTACTAGTGCACAGTCCTACAACAGGATATTTTCTGTCATTTTTTGTTAACTGGAGTTAATAAAAACATTAAATGTTGTAATTACATAACAGCATTGGCACTGAGCTACCAGAACTTGTTTCAGTAATTTTACACATTTATTTCTTGCTTGGTTTAATTTCTGTATTGTTTGTAATTGAATTACTTGTTTTCTTAAATGTAAGCCATATTTGGTCTTATTATGAGTAGGAACTTTAAACAGCATTTCCATATTGTATAAAGCAGGTTGAAAAAGATATAATAATAACATTATACTGTAATAATATATCCAAATTTCTTAGATTTATAGTAAAATGCTGCAATGAAGTCTATAATCTTTTAATGTTAGTATTACAGTACAATGTAACAAAATACACAACATTTACTAGCATTACTACTTTGGATAATGTAAACAGCATTTCAGCTGTCTAAATATTATAAGAAATTAAACTCATGTTGATCATTTTTGACAAGTAGAACAATAATAAAGAGGGGGAAAGTTAATAAAAGTGCTCTTCTGCATCATCAAAAACAGGTTGACTATCTAAAAATGGAAAAGAGGAAGTGAGCAATTGTACTCTGTCTCATTTAATTTCAGTTTTATTTAGTTTTATTATTTCTTCTATTATTATCCTATTATTATTATTATTATTACTACATTACAAACCAATAATAAAGTTATTAAGACTTTTATTAGTATTTTATATCTGCTTAACATTCTCTTTTGATAGGTTTGCATCCATTACTATAGTCACTGTTTTTCACTTTCTCGATCAGTAATTACAGGAACTGTTCATATTGCTTTTAACACTGCGTTATTAAAACTGCAGCCAGAACTGCGAGTACGGAGGGGTTAAAAGAGTTTGGGTGGTTTTACACATCACATCCCATTCATTGATCACCTCTGACGGTGCTGCATCGTGCTGATCAATTCCTCCATGCCTGTCATCCTCTGCGAGGGCTGGCAAGGTTATAGAGAGTGGGGATGAATGGGCCATTTTGGCTCTAGGGTGTCGTGAGCGGGACGGAGCCGCGGACCCTCCCCGGGGCTCAGCACCTCACCCTCCGCTCCGTTTGAGCCAAAATGTCCCTGCTGCTGCTGCAGCGGTGGCGGCTGGACCACAGTGCAGGCTGGACGGAGCTGAACGGTTGGAAGTTTGTCAAGTTTGACACTAAGGGTTGGTTCAACACCGGAAACTGCGTGATTGTTTGCGGGAAAGTAAGAGCTCAGAAATTAAACTTTAATAATAAGTGGGATTTGCATTAAATCATATGTTACATACACGTGATAAAAGGCTATAAAGTGTTGTCCTTTTAAGAGCCTTTAGTTGCTTAAGTAATTTCTAAATAACAAAATACAGTCTGTTCCTCCTTTACAAATAGGTGTGGGTTTAGCCTAATATTATAGACTGTCAAATAGATTTGAACACAGCCAGACCTTTGACTATATATTACTTTTAAATCTTCCTTATTTGAAAACTATTTTCTTCCTGTTTTATAAACAAGCAAATAGTCAAATCTCTCCCTAATATTTTAGTGTCTTTCCCTTACAACACCATGAGGTGACTGTGGTGTAGAAATAAAACTGAATTGAATCATATTAAAAAATGTGGATGTTTTGTATTTCTTTTCCTGTAAATTTGCTAGTTGTTCTTTTTTTTCATTCATTATCTGTTGACTATATTCTTCTTATTTACTACTAACATGGACTGGCTTTTACTGAAAGACCCCTCCAAACATGTTTTAGGAATAAAAGAAGGAAAAAGAACTTTCCTGAAAGTTGTTTATCTAGTTATAAAATAATACAATAACAACTTACACGTAAAACGTACACACTTTGCTGTTACAGCATCAAAAAGATGGGTTGTTTTAATCCATATATTATCTGTAACCGAATTGTTTGTTTTTCTTAAAGGTAAACATAGTAATTATAATTTTGGTTGGTGTGTTTATTTTATAAAGCAGTTTGAAACAAAAAAATAACTAAAGATAAAAGAAAAGTCATAATGATGTCCAAATTAATTAGATCTGCATTCACAGTTTTTCTCTTGGCGTTATAATGTAACCTCTATGGGAGATGCTTTGCGTCTTATTTTGAAAACCGGTAGTTTAGGATTTCCATTTTGCCTGACTTATCGCTGCTCCTTCTTTTCCCCAGTATTAAACCTTGGGGGAGGGATCCTTGAGTGCTGCTGTCGCACAACTACGCTAGACTAGAAGCTTTACTTTCCGACTGTTTGAATCAGGCAGGCAGGCGGTGGTGGGTCTACGCGAGACGGATACTCAAAAATAGCTCTGAAAGGCGATCAGGTATGGCGGATGCTAACGGAGGGGCTCCGCGGTACTTTACGTAAAGATGAGGATTCCTCCGGTGAGTAACTGGGTTTGTTTTCGTGACATTTCACGGGTCTGCTGTTGCTCCAACGTTTACAAAACCGCCATTGCAACGCTAACTATCGATGCAGCCCAAGTGAGCGTGGACGGCTGCGGTGCTATCTTTTTTTGGCTTATTTGGTGGATAAACGGTGAGGAATATGGAGAAGGTGCCGTTACGGTAACACTATATCTTACGTCTATTACACAACGCGCTCTCCTTTACATTGCGAGCTGCGGATAGACAGCCAGTGAGGTTGATAGCAGTGCGACAGGAGGAAAATACTTTGCTGTGGGTGACTTAATGTGAGGAGGAAGGCTTTTTAGGGTTTCTATTACCCGTTATGACTGGCCGTTAGCAACGGAACCCACCGAGTCAGTGACGGCGTGAGTGTCCGCCAGAGCAGCAAGTCTCTCCCGTCACTCGGCACACGACTGCCCGCTCAATCTTTAGGGCTATTTCTAGCTTTCTCCAGTACAGCCAGCTGCTGTTAAGTGCTATTATTTGACGCCTAAAATCTCAGTTTTTGCCACACTGCTAAGACGAATGGGTCAGAATTGTTTTGGAAACTTAACTCGTGGCCTTTGTGAATTTGGTTTAATTCAGCTAGCTGCCCAGCTAATACAACTACCCAAGTTAACAAACAAATAGACAAACACTTCACCGCTGCTGTCGTGTAGCCGCACCAGTTTAACCCACCTTCTTTTAATGACACAGAGTAGCTTTCCATGTGTTTTCCCAGTCTACCTGAGAGTGATCTTCATCCAGCGAGGGTGTGTTTGGCCTGCAGGCACAGCCACAGTGCCACTTATGGTTGCATAATCCAAGCAAGTGGTCATCTATGCGCTCTCAAGGGTTGGTTTGGTGAGCTTTCCTGGTGCTACATCTTTTGTATTTGGTCTCTTTGCTTCTGTCCAGGTCTTGGATAGTGAAGAATTTCAAAATCAACTCGGAATATATAAAAAAAAAATGTGCAGTTCAGCTAGGATAACTTTTTTTTAATTTTTTTTTTTACGTTTTGATTAGGTAAGTTATGCTTCTCGGGTTGAACAGTGCTACTTATGATTTTATAAGCTAATCAAATGGTCATCTACCTGCTCTGCACAAGTGCACATCTACAATAAAGACTAGGATCCTTTTTGAGTGATCTGTATCTTTTATTCTGGCAATGTCATTAAAAAAATGATATTATGCCTTATAAAATAAATTCCTTACACTTTCTAATAGATTTTAATAATACAAGGGGAAGGTGGGTTTCCCTTTGGTGCTGGCTTGAACCCCTCTGGTGGGTGCTAGAAATTCAAGTTACCAAATAGTTGAAAACTAAATTTAAAAAGGGGTTATAGTAACATTTAGACTGGATTTTGATTAATGCTCTGTTGTATGTCAAAGTCCTCTCTTATCTATCTGCTGATGATGAGCAGTTTAAACATGGTCTGGTGCAAAATATTTGCAACACAAGTCTCTTTCTTTACAGCTCCCTGAATTACTGACCTCTTATGTCAGTGAGTAGTCTCTTAAAGGGGACCCATTATGAATATCCTTTTTTTTTTGCCACTGTTATGTGAGTGGATGTGCATATTACACGTGCTCAAAAATGAAAAAGGTGAAGTAATGAAATAATGTCAGTGTTGTATATACAAGAAACCACTGTCAGCGAAAAGCTCAGGCTTCACAATGCTCTGCATGCTCGGTTTCAGGTAGTTTTGTCTCTCTTTGATGCCAGCAAGAGCAGATATGCCTAATTTCGTCATCTCAGGCGCAAAGTGCTAGCTTTGAGAACAGAAGCTCCACCCACAGTCCGTCTGTTTGAAAGGGACAGCCAATTAGAAGAAGGTTGTCTTAAAAGAGGAGATAATACAGCTTGTCATTGAGTTGGTTTTGTATCTATGGTAGTTTAGTCCAAACAAACTTTATCAGGTTTCTTGCTGATGCGACTTTTGCATTTGCTGTCCAGACTTGAGTCCAGGCCTGGAGGTGGATTTATCCAGAAGTAGGCCTGTCCCAGGGGCACCTTGAATAGTCATCAGCAATGGCAAATTAATATAATGAATTTGGGACCAAAGAAAAAGCCTCATCACCACCACATATCTTAACGTATATTTATTAATCAAATGGTACTAGACGGTATTTGGCAATATTAATGTGAAATTAGTTTTTTCCCATGAAGCATAAAGATATCCCACTTCATCTTCAGGTGGTTATAAATCCCAGTGAGGATGTGTGATTCGACTGATCCAACAGACGCCCGTGCAGAGACGGGCTCTCATGTGTGCAGAGACGTCCCAGATGTAGGTTACTGTATGCTTTCAGAAAGAATTACAAGTCTCCCCAATGGCAGACCAGCAGCCAGTCTCCCTGTGCTGATTTTCTTTCTTTGTAGTGGTGGTTAAATGTAGATCAAACATGAGGGAGAAAGGAAGCTCGTAATAGCTTCTGACACGTTCTGTGAAGCAGAGCAGCTCTTTATAACAGGAGGACAGCTACTTTCCTCTTTCCTCCTGAAGGTAAATCTCAGGGGATTTAACTTTTTCAACCTCTCCTGTCAAAGAAATTATTTTATTTTTAAGCGAGCATGACCTTTCAGAGGATACAAACCTGTGGCATGTTTTCCTTTTATGTGTTTTTTCTTTTATTTATTTTGTCAGAAAAAAAAAAGCTTAAAGGAGTAGAAGGAGGAGGTAGGACAACTCCCAGTGTACTTCCAGCTTGGGCGTTAAGCATAGCACACATTACATGATAATGTGTCAGTCAGTTTGGCGATCATGCTGGTAGAAAGTGATGTCAGTCTATTCTTAAAGAGAGGAAGCGATCACTTGAGGTTTCCTGTGTTCACCCTTAGTAGACGGCGTCTGGAACGCGGCGGTGCTGGATGTGGAGCTAAAAACATTGTTTCTCAGGATGTGAGATCGTAGTCCTGGGAATTCTTATAGCATCAGAAATAATGGGAAATTCAATGTGTTTTTATTTTTATTTTTTTTAATGATTTATAACATGTACATTTTTTGTTTCTCCAAATCCAGAGTTGCCGGTTAATCTCACAGCTCCAGATAAATATCATTCTAACTCTTGAATCATCCATTGATTATTTTTATGATTACTTTTTAACAGTGTGAAAAGGGCAGCCAGTTTTCTTTAGTTTCCGTTAATTAAAAATCTTGGCCAACCACCTGTTGTTTGCCTAACCATAACTTTCAAAGGCAAGTAAAAAAAATTACACTTCTTATTTAAAAATCTAGTTGCAGATGATAATAATAAATAATAAATACATTCAGTGTTTTCTTTTTACAAAATGTTATGTCCTACTTGTTTGTGTCATGTACATGTTTGCTATGGAAAATTAATCCATCCCTGAGGACGAATTTATGCAAATCTACTTATAATTTACTACTAATACTAATCTATAGTAATGTACTATACTGCTTCCAAGGAGCCTGAGTTTCAAGTGATCTTGAGCAATAATTCTCCATCTTTCTGAAGGTCTTTCAGAGTTTTTCTCTGGACATTGCCTGCTTTGTCACTCATTGTAGTCCAGTTCTTATATCTGACCATTTTCAGAAGAAACTACCCAAGAGAACACAGTTTGACTACACAAAATAGTATTTTTGACCAACAAGGTGTTCATGTCCTTAAGAAATGGGAAATCCAGCAAAGACCTGTCAGAAGACATTAGAAATGCATCTGGCTCCTCAGTTGATCCATCTACTGTTCACTGAAGACTTCTGTAATGATCTCTGTGGACGGTATAGCAAATTAGACAGGAACTGGACTGAAAATGGGTGAAATTATTCAGTGATGAATAAAAGTCAGATTTGGTGTTTTTGGTTCAAATCTTCGTCAGTGTGTACGAAAGAGTTGGGAAGAGAATTAGAACAACAAGTGTCTACAGAGTTATCTGTAAAGCACTGCAGAGGCTCTGTGGTGGATTGGGGCTGTATTTCTGCCAATGGTGTTGGAGATTTTGTCAAAGTTCAAGAAATTACGAATGTAAAAAAGTAACATCCGATTTTGATCCTCTATGGAAGATCATCTTTAAAACAGCTTCATTTTCAGGATGACGATAATCCCGAACACACTGCTTATGCAATAAAAGAGTAGCTGGATAGAAAAACACACAATGGAACATTATCTGTCATGGATTGGCCTTCCTAGAGAACAGACTTCTATATCACTGAAGCAGTGAGGGATCATGTTGATAGAGAACAGAACAAACAGCAGCCAGCATGCAAAGAAAGAGCTTTGGATGTCCTTTAAGAAGCCTGTAGAACTATTCCTGAAGACCACTCGAATAAATTACAAGAGAGCTTAGATTTTTAAGTTTTAAAGGAGACATTAATGTTAATTCCTAACTCCGTGTTTTTATTCTTGGACAGTAAAAATGTCTGTCAGACATTCCAATTTGTTTTTTCTAATTTAAATGTTTCGTTTTGTCAGAACAACATTCCAATACCAAAAAATAAACAAAGTTTTGGGTTTGTTTTTGTATTTATATATGTACTGAAGAATTATGTCAGTATAAGACTATAGTATCTTTCTTTCTGCGATGGACAAAAGGAGACAGATTTTCAACGCGAGTTATTAAATGGCCACAAATACTAGGAAAATGCACAGACTTATGTTAAGTAAGTTAATGCACACTATTTGGCTTGACACTATGCAGACTGATTGTGCTTATGTACCCCCCCCCCCCAATTTTGAGCCAAGAAATAGAAAGTGTGTGCATAATGCAATGAGGACTGTAGTTTATGATTGATGATTAATATACTCTGCCTTAAACCAGTGGGAGCTGGCAAGGGCTTCATATTCAGCCAAGAAAATGATAAGAAAGAAAGAAGTTATTTAATTTTTTTTTCCTTTTCATTTTCTTTTGCTTATAAAAACAATTTTGTGTTTAAATCATTTACATCAATTTGCGATACTGGTCTGTGTATGCGTGAATGCAGCAGTCAGCGATGGCTTCTAACCGGGTTACCGTTTGCCGTCAAACTCCCTTAAAT